GCAGCCGAGGTAGGCGGGGGAGCTGGAGGGGGCGGAGCTGGGGCAGCTGAGGTAGGCGGGGGAGCTGGAAGGGGGAAGCTGGTGGGTGGAGAGGACTTGGGGACCAAGGAAGGGCAGGGAGACAGGAGGAGAGCATCTGGCTCTTCATTGTGGCAGGAACAGCAAGAGCTGCTACCTTGTTTGGTGCCTTGTTGTACCTAGCCTTACTCCCTCCAACTGTTGAGTAGGGGACGTAGGGCACCTTGATACTAGCAATATTTGTACTGTCTATGCTTAAAAAACAGTTGTGAAACTTTGAGAATTAGCCTTGAAGGTTTTTATAACACAGGAACTGCTTGTTTTTTTTTTTTAATGCTCCTCTTTCCAAAGGCCTTTTTGAAGAGCCCCTTCAGGGAATGCAGTAACTTGTTTAGTTGGAGTTTCAAGCCAGAGGATTGTACATCTGCTCTCTGTGGTTGTGAGAAATCCTATCAAATTAAAAATACCAACTAGCTATTTTTAAGCAATACCAATTCACCCTCATGGACCCATTCTTCTAAAATGACAACTGAAGATTACTTTAAATTATATTAACTCACCCCTCTGTACTGTTATTATGTGACCCGAAAATAGCTTTGAAATCAGTCCTTGGCAGTACGTGACCTTATTCTTACATCTTTGTTTCATAATGCTTTATTCATATTTGTGTAAGATTTAAAAATTACAAGGAGTTGTGCCTACTATTGCTTGACACCCATTGTGCAATGTTCCTCAACGTAGCATTATTTTGGTATGACTAAAGAGCTTCTGTGTGTGAGGTAGATACCATATCTTTTTTTCCCTCAAAGAAAATGAAAATTTTACCCCTCCCCATCCTTATGTTCTGATCCTTTCAAATGTCAAAAGATAAGTAGGATCTGACTTAGCAACAGTTAAAGAACATGTGTGATAGGAAGTGTTGCCCAGTGATTCAGTAGGAAGCTGAGTATTGCCATTTTGGGACCATCCCATCAAGTCCTGCCTCCAGTAGTGGCTAAAATAATAGTTTATGTTTTTAGGAGACAAAAATCCTGTAATATGCATTCGACCGTCTGAGCAGTGGTGCATGTGGGAGAAGTGTGCATAGTACTCTTTCACCCTGCTTCAGTCCTGATTCTGGATCCCATTAAGATGCTAGTGGGCATTCTGCTGATGGAGTGAGTGTTTGGGGCAGTCTTTCAAATATAAAACTGATGTTTTAGCCACTTGTATCCTTGTTTATATATTGAACTGTGCTAGTGTCAAATCTGTTACTCTAAATTCTAGATGAGGGGTTGCATATGTTACTCAGAATCTGTTTATGTACCTAGGTTTATTGGAATTATAAGAAAAATGACAAAGCAAAAAGGGGTAATCAGCTGAACAAATAAAATTCAGTTATTCACATCATTCATTTTTGTGTCACTTTAATACTTCAAGGTTATGATGTTCTGTGCCTGTAAACAAAATGTTTTAAGAGTCACAAAATGGTTCTCTCTAAATGCTTTCAAACCTGTTCTGAGGCTTTTTCTTTATGAATTAAGTAATTTGAATATAGCCTTTTCTCTAATCTATACTGATCAGTTTAAGCACCTTTCCAATTAAGGGATAAGTAGCTAAACCTAATAACCAATTTAAAAACATTGTCACATCATAAAACTGGATGTCTTATACAGAGTTTTGTGGTAGACTCTTGGTCATAGCTTTTGCTTTTCAGCTTCTGTCTTCTGGGATGTTCCTGACTCCTGTGGACTACTTGACCATATATGACTGTGTTTCACATTATCTCTCATGGAAATTGTTGAAGAACAGAAGTTTCTTCAACAGTCTATCAGGCAAAGGACTTGCTACATTTCTAGCTAGAGCTTACTAGTCCAAACTTGGCATGTTCTTCTAATCATAGAATTTTATTAAGATGACAGTGAGTAGTCATTTTTTAAAACAATGGCGTAGTTAGAGAGAGGTGGGATTTTCAAAGCTACCTACATGGTTCAGGCACACAAATACTATTGAAAGTCAAAGGGATTGGTGCACCTACGTTATGTAGGCACTTTTGAAAATCCTGTCCAAAGTTTTAGGTTCATCACTACATATTAAGAATTAATGTGAATTCTTGTAACTGTGAAGGGTTGTGTCAGGGCAAATTAAGAAGAGTTGAATTTGAAGAGTCAGTGTATAACTAAAACAAGATTTCATACTATTTTGAAGCTGTAATGCTGTTTCATGCAGCAAATTATTTGTCCTAGTAATCTCTCTTTCTACAGCACCCATGTTGTATTAGCAGGTGTGAAAAAAGTTTAGTTTTTAAGTGTTTTTGTTAAACATGAAATAGGTTCTTAACTCCATTCACTTGGTTTGAAATTTGATATTTTTTGTAATGCTTTTGAAATAAACAAATTCTTAAATCCAATCCTCACAGGTAACTATCTCAGTTTTACAGATGTGGAAAATGAGACCTGGAAGGGTTAAGTGACTTGTCTTGGGGTAGTCAGTGGCAAAGTCAGGATTAGAACTAGAGTGCTTGACTCTCAGTCCCATGGGGAATATGAGACAAAGATTATATGAGTTGTCAGAGGCCAAATAATGAATCCGTGACAGAACTGGGATTAGCCCTAAAGTTTGTCTGTTGAACATGTTAATAGTACTTGGCACATTGTGGTTGGTGGGTCAAAGTGCTTGACAGGCTGACATTTGTAATGATAGCATTGTAAAGAGGATCTCATTTGGAACACTTTCTGGAAGAATGTTGTTCTATTACCCTTTATGAAGGAGAGAGAAAAGACACAATTCAAACCACTTTCTGTTAGGTACTGTATAAACATGAATAGACTTGGTCCTCTCCCATAGAGTTTTAACTGACAGATTCTTTGTCCTCAGGCTAACAAATCTTCCCTCCCCAGCACCTTAATATTTTTAAAGTGACTTGTCCAAGAATAACCTGGATGTCCAATTTGGTTGTCCCTCAAGAATATAATTAGTTTTTTTCCTAGCATGATTAGCCACATGCACTGTTCCTGAAGCGTAGTCTGAGGCTCAACTGGCTAAGTGGCGCCAGAGGAGGGATTTAGCAAAGCAGTTGAGGCAGGCAGGTATAATCTACTTATGTAGTTCAGTGACATTTACAAGGAAATTGTCACTTCATCCTCAGGTTGGACATAGGAATCAGTCAGTGCATCCAAGAATTATTGAAGTGTAGGTCAGCAGGTTGTGAACAAGGCAGCAATTACATTTCACTTGTCTAAACTGTTTTTGGCTTTCTTGGGATGCGGGACAACAGAATTTGACCTAGCCTGTTGTCCCAATAATGTTGAAACATATTTTGACATTTTCAGAACAGAATATTTATATATTTTGTTTCAAAACAACTTTGAGGGTTTTTAAAAATATTCTAAATAAGATTTAAAATGCCAAAATTGGAATATAACATCTAAACAAAACACTTTGACCTGAAATTAATTTTTTTTTCAGAATTTTGTTTTGTGGGAAATTTCAAAATTTATTTTTGTTCTGTCTCAAATAGAAATTTTTTTTTTCCAGGAAACAGAAAATCTAGTTCCCACCCAACTCTAAAATTAAATATGATCTCCTGAACTATATGAAAGATTATTAGTGTTGTGTATAGAAAAATGGTCACAAAATACATTATTTCCTCTCTGCATTCTCTTCCTATAGTGTTTAAAATAATGGTAAGTTTGTTCTGAAGTTTGTTTATATCTGATCAGAAACACTTCTCTTTTATTAAACAAAAATTACAAGGGAAAACAGATTGTAAGTACACTTCTAACTCCATTCTTCCAAATGATGCCCCATTGTTATCTTAGATAGGTACCGTAAGTAAAACAATAAGACATATGTCCTTTGGATGATCACTACTGTTTTGAATTTCAGTTCTTAAAGTTAAATTGCCTTACCTGACTAATTAATTTAGTAATCTTTCTTAAATGAAAAAACTTTTTTTTTGTAGGCCTTCCATTTCAGATGACTTAAAAGTAGGCTATTTTATCACAGATCATGCCACTCAAACAGATATCAAAGAAATAGTAGAACTAAAGGAGCTTACTACTACTACACAAGCCCTAGTACAGGTAAGAGAGCTTCTTGGATATGTCTCAAGATATTCTTCACCATGTTGTAGGAAAAATCCTCTGTCAAAGTCATCTTTACCCTTTGTTATTTTCTGTCCTGTTATGGTTGTTTCATTTAAGCTTACATAAATCTCAGTTCTCCATTAAAATATGCCAATAACTCACATTTATATTAAATAGGAATAGCTGAATAAAAGACTAGACAGTTTGGTTACACTCATCAGAGTGTGAAGATTGATCCATGTGAAGATTGAACAAACATATAAAAAAAGGAAAAAGTTTAAAGATGGTGAGCAGAGAATGCACATAAGTGAAGACTTTAAAACTTAAACGGTAAACCTTTATATTAATGCCCAGGACTCTAGAAGAGAAGTTTAGCACTAGAATAAATAGGCCCAGCTCCATTAATACTACCTGTGAATTTGGCTATGTATGTATGTATATTGTGACAGACCCAGACCAGTGGGGTACAGGAGTCTGGTAGAGGGCAAATATACTGGTCACTGGATGAGTAGTTTTCTGTTCCCTGAGTGACCAGAGAAGGGGCTGCACTAGAGTAATCAGGAACCTGCTAGAACCAGTTAAGGCAGGCAGGCTAATTAGGACACCTGGAGCCAATTAAGAAGAAGCTTCTAGAATCACTTAAGGCAGGCTAATCAGGGCACCTGGGTTTTAAAAAGGAGCTCACTTCAGTTTGTGGTGCGAGTGAGAGGAGCTGGGAGGTTGTGCTGCTGGAGGACTGAGGCGCACAAGCGTTATCAGACACCAGGAGGAAGGTCCTGTGGTGAGAATAAGGAAGGTGTTTGGAGGAGGCCATGGGGAAGTAGCCCAGGGAGTTGTAGCTGTCATGCAGCTGTTACAGGAGGCACTATAGACAGCTGCAGTCCACAGGGCCCTGGCCTGGAACCCGGAGTAGAGGGCGGGCCCGGGTTCCCCCCAAACCTCCCAATTGACCTGGACTGTGGGTTCTTCCAGAGGGGAAGGTCTCTGGGCTGTTCCCCAACCCACATGGTGAATCTCTGAGGCAAGAAAATCCACCAATAAGCGCAGGACCCACCAAGATAGAGGAGGAACTTTGTTACAATATACAGGAAAGTAGCTTGTGTAAAATAGTGCCATACCCTTACTTTAAAAAGATTATGTATAAAACAATTATGTGATGAATTAAATAGGAATATAATATTCAAATCAACTTGGAAGAGAAAGCTTGGTTGTAACTAAGGTCTTCTTTCAGTTTGCTACTGTGATTTTGGTAGAAGCACCAATATTTAAAATATTTAAAAATAAAATATTTGGATAAAAACACTTAATATTGGATTAAAACAAGCCCGTCTCTAACAAATGCATGTCTAATGAACCCATATTACAAAATACACCGCTACCTCGATATAACGTGACCCAATATAACATGAATTCGGATATAACGTGGTAAAGCAGTGCTCGGGGGAGGGGGGGACTGCGCACTCCGGTGGATTAAAGCAAGTTCAATATAATGCGGTTTCACCTATAACACGGTAAGATTTTTTTTTTGGCTCCCGAGGATAGCGTTATATCGAGGTAGAGGTGTAGTATGAAGAAAATTACTGAGATATCCCTATTTATTATTTTTTCACATTTTTCATTCATTTAAAATGCTACAAATTTAAAACTGAGGGAAGGAGATACTTTATAATTAAGTCTGCGAGTCTGTCACGGAAGTCACAGATTCCGTGACTTTCCAGGACCTCCCTGAGTTCTGCAGCAGCAGTGGGAGTCCCGGGGCCATGTGCCACTGCCCACTCCCTGGGCTGCACTGGCAGCAGACCAGGCCACGTGTCGCTGCCTCCCCCACCCCCAGCAGCTGCAGGGGTCCCAGGCTGCCCACTGCCACCTGCCCCCACCTGTGGCACCCCCAGGCTACCCCACCCCCAAGCAACCCACCCGCCCCCTTCCCCAGAGCACCCAGGATTTAGTCAGGGGTATATAGTACAGGTCATGGGCCATGAATTTTTGTTTCGGGCCATGACCTCTTTATGACTTTTACTAAAAATACCTATGACATAAATAAGGCTATGTTTTAAATACAGTGCATTAACCTGCTGTGATTATTGCGGAAGACTATTGCACCAAATAGCCGGTAAGTTTTAAAATGATTTTATATAATTATCAAACAGTGCTTTGCTCTTATTTTGGTCAAGTCTGTTCGTGTTTCTGATTGAAATAAACAATTTCTATCTTACATGAACACAAAGGAGCATAGCATGTGAGTGCCTTTATAATACCACTGCCACAACTTTTAGTTGTAACCCTCTTATTCTCCTGATTCTTCTGTCATTCAAAATGTTAACTTTTCTTATTAAGTAGTAGTGTTCTTTAGTCAGTCAACTGAATTATCACAATCATGCCTTCTTACATTTTAAGCACTGTAAGAACATAAATAAGAACCATAAGAATGGCCATATTGGGTCAGACCAATGATCCATCTAGCTCATTATCCTGTCTTTTGACAGTGGCTGGTGCCAGGTTCTTCAGAGGGAATGAACAGAACAGGGCAATTATCAAGTAGTGTAGAAGTTCTATTACACTCATGATTTGATTCCATGAGTATTTATTCATTTTTAAGAGGAAGTTCAAATTAATTACTCACTGTCATCCTTGGGCTTTTGTGACTCTGTTCTCTCTTAATTCTCCTAAATTTTGGATCATTCCTTGAGAGTCTCATTCAGTGGAACTTCCTCCTTTCTTCTCTTTCTTTCTGTTCAAGCCCCGTAGACTCCATTCTTGGCCCCCTCCTCCTTTCACTCTGTTTGTGTGACCTTCGCTGCCAGCTAGGATTTGACTGTCATCTTCATGCTGATGACTCACAAATACAACTCCCTACTTTGAATTTATCTCCTTCCATCCAAACTAAACTCTTAGCCTGTCTTTCTAACATCTCCTAGTGTGTGTCCAGCTAACAAATTAAATATAACATGGCCAAAACTGAGCTCCTGATCTTTCCTCCAGAGCCCTCTCCACTCACTCCTTTCTCTGTCACATTAGACAACATCACTGTATTCCCTGTTTAAGCCCTTAATGTATTGGCTTTTGCTTTGACTCAGGCCTTTTCCTTTGATCCATACAGCGAGGGGGGGGGCAGAAATGGGAGGGGGAGGGGGAGCTAGTGCTTCTGCAGTGGAAATATTGTGGGGGCTCCTCTCCCATATAAAAACATGCATGTGTGAAGGGGTGGCTGTGAGAGTGGGACCTGGAGGAGCTGAAGTGGCCGCGTCAGTGCCTAGGATTGGGCCAGAGAGCAGGAAGGAACAGCTGGGACCCTCTTCCCAGCCTGGAGTTCGCTGCCCACTCCCATCCCCCACAGAGTCTCAGTAGCTCTCTTTAATCCCACTCCTATCCCTCCACCCCACCATTGACAGAGAGCTTTCACCCCCACCACCCCTCCCACACACATCCAGGCCACTTCTAAATCTTACAGCTTCTTCTTGCACAGTATCTACAAGATCTGACCTTTTCTTCCTGCCCACACTACCAACATTATTTCCCAAGCCCTGATCATGTAGCACCTTGACTACTGCAATCTCCTCCTCTCTGGCCTGTAAGTCTACAACCTCAGCTCTCTCAAGTCCATTCAAAATGCAATCACTAAGATCAACTTGGCTCATTGCTCTGAGTGTATCATCCCCCCTTTTTAATTCCTTTTCATTGAATCCATAATGCTAATTTCTTATCCTTACTTTTCAAAGCATTTGACAATTTAGTCTTATCCTTCCTGTCCTCCTCTAAATCCCTCCTCAAAACTCGTCTCTGCCTTAGAGCATACAGAAAACTGCAACCTAATATGGCTAAGCAGTGGCAAGTTTTGACCACAGCTATGGAATGGCTAAAAATGGCATACATCTTATTACATGTGGTACCCTGTCTCCCGCACCATCTGTTGTGGCCTTCTCGTTTGTTTCGTTCCCCTATTATAGCTTGTCTTTTAGACTGGAAGCTCTTTGAGGCAGAAGCTGTTATTTAATATGTTGTGCATACCACTATGGGACCCAGCCTGGCTGTGACTTTTAGGCACTATGACAAAATAAATGTTAATAATGTTGTATCTGCAATTATACTAGTATAGATAGGATATATGATTATCATTACGGCCCAGATACACAAAAGGACTTGCATTTCTCACTTAGGCGCCTAAGTCCAAAATTTAAGTACCGCTGAGATCCTTAAAACCCCTGTTCAGCTGCTGTCTAACTCTGGAGGTGCCTAAAATTCCTGAGCACTTAATTTTTTTTTCTGTAAAAGTCCCAGAAGCCTAAGTTTCTGCTCCAGGACATGCACCCGGATGCCTGTCATTTCTAACCCTCTGTGCTATCCTCTAACAGGTGAAGATAGGTGTTGCCCTGCCTATTCTGCCAGTAGGCGTTTTCAGAGCACTCCTAATTCCACCCAAAGTGGCAGACATATAATTGCAGTATTATGAATCTGATTCTTCCATACCATAAGGTGCTTGCAGTATTGTTGATGCCAGTCTTCGCTTTTTAACATCCCACAGTAATGATCATATGATGCAATGATCATGTTCATGATAAAGCATGTGACAGAGATTGTCAGTGGTGACATTGAGAATAGAACACATAATTTATGTTTTCATAACTGTTTATAATTTGTTTCACACCCTACAGAGACAATTACAGTTTGCTTTATGTAATTAAGTTGTTTGATTTTTGTCAATAAGTTTTCTGATAGAGTATTTTGTAATCCTCTGTTTAGAAGGATGCCAAGGTATTTCAGTCAACAAAATTGCCACTCATACAATGTCTTACATAAACAGAATAATTAAAGCACAAATACTTTCTGATTAGTTTATTTTGTATCAGCAGGGAAGATTATAGAAAAAATGTCCTTTGTAGTGTATATGTAATATCAGTCTTTACATTTTTAGTTCACTGACTCCATCCAGGAAGATTTTATGATCTATAAAAATATTCTTCAAGCACAATATGAGGAAAAAATACAAGAGCAGGCTTCGAATCTCTGTAGACAGATAAATGACAGACTGAGAGACATAGAAGCTTTTCATAAACAGGTACAGAGTACCCTATTTAAAATGTCAATTTCTCATTCATTTACCCTCTATATTTGGGCAGATTATTGATATGTAATAGTATAAAATAAAATTAATCCACAAATATGTTGATTAATATGAATGTGGATTTCCAAAGATTTGCAGTTTAAAAAGTAGTGGGTAGTTATATGGAAAACATCTACCTATAAACATATGTAAAAATGTTTACAAAAAATCTTAACATTTAGTAACAAACGTGCTATAATAGTGAGAACTTTCAACGTTAATGTCCTTTTAATTTATAGGTCTAAGATTTAACCTACCTCTTTTCTTATGTGTTTATAAAGTCCAGGCAGTTCTTTATGTATGTATTATCTTCCAAAATAAATGCTTTAACACTCTTTTTGTTAACAAACCAAACTAATTGCCAATGTCCTAGTGCTCATGGAGAACCATACAGTAACTGTCCAGTGCATGCTTATGCATGAGAAGACAACAGTAAAGGAAGGGGGTTTAGTTTTAAACTTCCAAGATATCAGTATGAACAATAAATAATAAAACAATTTTAAAATTGAGAAATGTATGTCTTTTTAAACATTTTCAGATGTACAGTCCTTGTACATATGTACATATTTTTAAATATATTGGTTGCATTTTGAGTATTTCCTTTGGAAAGATTTAGTAATCGTTGTTTCTTTTCAACAGCATGTATGTGTCTAAAGTACTTTGGAACCCATTTATATAAAAATGTATACTGTACAATTATTTAGCCAAATGTGGAAATGAGAGATCGTTATACACCAGTGATATAAATAACAAAGGGACAGAAAAGTTATAGGGGCACTGGCTCATTAACTTTTTCCCCAGAACAGAGGATTTGGACAACATTTTGATTTTGTTCAGTGGAAAAACAACAAGAACTAATGTTTTTCTTTAAGTCCAATATAACTGTTTCAGTAATCCATTAAAAATTTGAATTGCAGAAAGAAGTCAAAATTCGACAAAGCTACCAACAGCAGCTATGTGATGCACTTGCTGTTCTCAGGGTAGATTATGAGGTGGGTTTTAACTATAATTATTTTTTTCAGTATAACATTGATTTGAAGAGTGGAATAACATGTTATTTACAGGCTACAGCATTTTGAGTGCCGGTGCATTGTCAAAGCTGAAAAAAATAGAATACGATACAGCTGTTTGGTGAATGTGTCATATTAAGATTAAGCCTTCCAAAAACAATATATTGAATAGGAATAGAAAAAATGAACATTATGTAAAAATATTTGAATGACTTTAGCAACAACAATTAGTTCCTCAGCTACTGAAAAGCCTGACCGTGCATTGACTTCAAGGTACACAAGTAATGCAGAATTGGGCCCAAATAGTTGGTTAGAGCTTAATCCTGCAAGCTTCTGAGGATTGAAGAAAGAGGCCTGAGAAAATCAGGGTAGCCTCTTAAAGGATGGAATCTTTGGAAAACCAACTTTAGCTTTAATTCAGAAAATGAATACATCTTAAAAAGGAATAATTAAAATTATTTAAATCTTTAACATATTGTGTCTTCTAATAAAGGAAGTTCAGATTCTTCCATTTTTACAGCTTATTAAATTGGCGTTGTAACCACAGATCAGAAAAGAAAAATCAGTGCGTCTGAATGAAAAGAAAAATCCACTCGTATGACTAGCTCTGTTACATAATACAAGTGTGATAATCAGAGGAAATATTGTATGTGGTGCAGCAGATAAAATAAAAGCTTCCTGGTGCATTTTGCAGTGTTGTAGCTGTGTTGGTCCCAAAATATTAGAGACACAAGGTAAGTGAGGTAATATCTTTTATTTTGTCCTATTACTGCAGCGGTGTAACAGGCCACTTCACATTGAATGGTTTCTTACAATATGCGTTAACTACTTATGCTAAACAATGTGTTCCACCTTGTATTTAATTATGATACTCTGAGTGCCTTTCCCAGACCTGAATAAGACTCTCTAAAGTTAGAAAGCTTGTCTCTTTCATCAACAGAAGTTGCTCCAATAAAAGGTATCGCCTCACCAATTCCACTCTCAAACTGTCATTGCAGACAAAGTGGTGACTGACCATAAGTAACCTAAATCAATTTTTTTCAGTGAGATGAAACTTGGGGGTATGCATGACAAATCAGACTCCTTAAAGGGGTACAGTAGTATGGAAAGGTTGGGAGACCTTGACCTAAATGACATTCTACTGCCCTCTAGAGACTGTAGTTAAAGATCTGAGATATCAAACCAATTCTCATTTCACAAATTTCTAGATGTCATTTTACCAGTAAGAATAATTTCTGCCAGGAAGTTATTGAACTTTGATTTGCAGATAAAGAAAAAAATTAAATGTGATTTTTGCATCATTACAGAAAACAATGTCAGTATTTTCAAAATCTTTTTTATGATCGCTTTATTACAGATGTGGGTAGGACACAGGACAATATTTTTAACTATAATTGCTTATTTTATATATTAGTACATATTTACGTACAAAATAGCATAGTCAGGTGCAGGTGGATAGCAGCAAGTGGATAGCATAGCACAGGGAGCATCGTAGCAAACAGTAATGGAAAACAATTTGGAAAAGGCAAATTTTGGGGAGATATTTAAAGGGGAGGAGGAAGAATGTATGGTTACAAGAGGATGAAGACTCTTCCAGGCATATAGAGGGACGTGGAAAACTGTGCATTTGTGAATGAAATTAAGTCATTTAGGAAGTGGAGTTTGCAGAGAGTAGGACAGAGGAAGGTGAAGAGGAGGAAAGAAGAGCAGTCATAAAGAGAAGTGGAGATCCAAAATCCTCAGAATGAGGCATTTGAATATGATGTGAATGGAGACACGAACTTGGGACATGAGAAGAAGATGTTTGCATCAATGGGTTAGATAGCTTAAAAGAAAGCAAGGGGAGAATCAGGGATCCAGGAAGGAGGAAGCTATGTTAGTGGAATTTTTAGCAGTGGGGGAAAAAGATGGCTGTTGTAGAGATAGAAGTGACACAATTTAGCAACAGCCTGGATATTTTAAGGTGGAGTAGAGACAGAGACAGTTTGTGTCTCTCCTGCACCATGTCTGGACAATAACATGAAGTGCCATCATCTGAAAAATTAAACTGCTACAAAATCAAATACAAAATATTTAAAGTTTCTACAAGAGCCACAAAATCCTCCCTAATGGTGATTTCAACATGGCAGTTGTAAGCAGGGCAGGCTCCAGGCACCAGCTTAACAAGCAGGTGCTTGGGGCAGCCAAGGGAGAGGGGCGGCACCTGCGGCAATTCGGGGGCAGCAGGTCCCTCACTACCTCTAGGAGCGAAGGACCTGCCGTTGAACTGCTGCCACCAATCGCGGCTTTTTTTTTTTTCCAATTACCGCCGCCGATCGCGATTGCGATCGTGGCTTTTTTTTTTGCTTGGGGCGGCAGAAATGCTGGAGCCGGCCCTGGTTGTAAGCAGTTCCAATCTTTCCTTCTAGAGGTACTTGAAAAGAATCTGCTTTAAAGTACTATATTTTATGGACTATATGAACAAACTGGCCAGGTACACAAGAAAAGCCCTGGGAACTTTTGAATTTCATTTCCTGTTTGGCCAGCTTGGCAAGCTGATCGGCACAGGCGACTGTGCAGATCTCATCAGCAGAGGTGACCATGGAGTCCCAGAATAGCAAAAGAGCTCCAGCATGGACCGAACGGGAGGTACTGGATCTGATCGCTGTATGGGGAGATGAATCCGTGCTATCCCAACTCCGTTCCAAAAGACACAATGCCAAAATATTTGAAAAAATCTCCAAGGGTATGAAGGACAGAGGCTATAACAGGGACCCACAGCAGTGCCGCATGAAACTTAAGGAGCTGAGGCAAGCCTACCAAAGAGGCAAACGGCCACTCCGGGTCAGACCTCCAGACATGCCGCTTCTATGATGAGCTGCATGTAATTCTAGGGGGTGCTCCTACCACTACCCCACCCCTGTTCGTGGACTCCTGCAAGGGGGGAGTCTCACGCAATAGGGATGAGGATTTTGGGGATGAGGATGATGATAGCACACAGCAAGCAAGCGGAGAAGCCGTTCCTGGCTGTCGGGGAGAACTGTTTATCACCCTGGAGCCAATACCCTCCCAAGGCGGGCTCCCGGACCTTGAAGGCAGAGAAGGGACCTCTGGTGAGTGTACCTTTGTAAATATAATACATGGTTTAAAAGTAAGCGTGTTTAATGATTAATTTTCCCTGAAGACTTGGGATGCATTCGCGGCCAGTACAGCTACTGGAAAAGAGATTTGGGTGTGTGTGGGGGGGGTGTTAGTTGGGTTTCTGCTGCACGTTAACCCGAAAACCGCAGCCCCCTCCTTTTAAATGGCCAACCCATTTTAAATGGCCAACCCAACAGGTGCTTAGTATGGGAAATGAGGGCACTGCTGTTTGAAACCATTCCCACATGTTATGAAGGTTAAAGAGGAAGGGATAGCTCAGTGGTTTGAGCATTGGCCTGCTAAACCCAGGGTTGTGAATTCAATCCTTGAGGGGGGCCACTTAGGGGTCTGGGGCAAAATCAGTACTTGGTCCTGCTAGTGAAGGCAGGGGGCTGGACTCGATGACCTTTCAGGTCCCTTCCAGTTCTATGAGATAGGTATATCTCCATATATTATAAAGAAGCCAAAAGACTGTGGCTTACCATGGCTGCCTGCAAGCCGAATTCTGTTGCCCGGCCCTGCGTGTGTGATCTCTCATACCAAAACGGCAGGCCCTCAATATAAGAGGCAAAATGCGACCTTGTACTCTACAATGTGTCTTTTTAAATACTACTCTCCCTTTTCCCCCCCCTCCTGCCGCTGCAAATGTTTCAACGCTCCCGCAGAGGCTAGCACAGATAAGAAGGCAAAAAAACGCACTCATGATGAAAATGTTCTCTGAGCTCATGCAGTCATCCCGCACTGAAAGAACTCAGCAAAATGCATGGAGGCACATAATGTCAGAGTCCAGGAAAGCACAAAATGAACATGAGGACAGGAGGCGGGAGCAAGAGGAGAGGTGGCGGGAGCAAGATGAGAGGAGGCAGGATACAATGCTGAGGATCAAACTGATGTGCTCCGTCATATGGTTGAGCTGCAGGAAAGGCAGGAGGAGCACAGACCGCTGCTTCAGCCCCTGTGTAACCGACCGCTCTCCTCCCCAGGTTCCATAGCCTCCTCACCCAGACACCCAAGAACACGGGGTGGGGAGGCTCCGGGTACCCAACCACTCCACCCAAGAGGACTGCCCAAGCAACAGAAGGCTGGCATTCAATAAGTTGTGAAGTGCAGTGTGGCCTTGTCCTTCCCTCCTCCCCCATCCCACCCGGTGCTTCCCTTCTCCCCCAGGCTACCTTGGCAGTTATCCCCCCATTTGTGTGACGAATTAATAAAGAATGCATGAATCTGAAACAACAATGACTTTATTGCCTCTGCAAATGGTGATCGAAGGGGGGAGGGAGGGCGGTTGTTTTACAGGGAAGTAGAGTGAACCAAGGGGGTGGGTTTTTATCAAGAAGAAACCAACAGAACTTTCACACCGTAGCCTGGCCAGTCATGAAACTGGTTTTCAAAGCTTCTCTGATGTGCAGCGCGCCCTGCTGTGCTCTTCTAACAGCCCTGGTGTCTGGCTGCGCGTAATCAGCGGCTAGGCAATTTGCCTCAACCTCCCACCCTGCCATAAACGTCTCTTCCCTCTTACTCTCACAGATATTGTGGAGCACACAGCAAGCAGTAATAACTATGGGAATACTGGTTTTGCTGAGGTCTAACCGAGTCAGTAAACTGCGCCAGCACGCTTTTAAACGTCCAAATGCACATTCTACCACCATTCTGCACTTGCTCAGCCTATAGTTGAACAGCTCCTGACTACTGTCCAGGGTGCCTGTGTATGGCTTCATGAGCCATGGCATTAAGGGGTAGGCTGGGTCCCCAAGGATAACTATAGGCATTTCAACATCCCCAACGGTTATTTTCTGGTCTGGAAAGTAAGTCCCTTGCTGCAGCCATTCAGACAGACCAGAGTTCCTGAAGATGTGAGCGTCATGTACCTTTCCCGGTCATCCCACGTTGATGTTGATGAAACATCCCTTATGATCCACCAGTGCTTGCTAGCAGCATTGAAAAGTACCCCTTGCGGTTTATGTACTGGCTGCCTTGGTGCTTCGGTCCGAAGATAGGAATATGTGTTCCGTCAATCGCCCCACCACAGTTAGGGAATTCCATTGCAGCAAAGCCATGCGCTATGACCTGCACATTTCCCAGAGTCACTACCCTTGATAGCAGCAGCTCAGTGATTGCGTTGGCTACTTGGATCACAGCAGCCCCTACAGTAGATTTGCCTGCTCCAAATTGATTCCTGACTGACGAGTAGCTGTCTGGCATTGCAAGCTTCCAGAGGGCTATCGCCACTCGCTTGTGAAATGTGAGGGCTGCTCTCATCTTGGTATTCTTGCACTTCAGGGCAAAGCAAGTCACAAAGTTCCATGAAAGTGCCCTTATGCATGCAAAAGTTTCGCAGCCACTGGGAATCATCCCAGACCCGCAACACTATGCGGTCCCACCAGTCTGTGCTTGTTTCCCAGACCCAGAATCGGCGTTCCACGGCATGAACCTGCCCCATTACCACCATGATGTCCACATTGCCAGGGCCCGTGCTTTGAGAGAAGTCTGTGTCCATGTCCTCATCACTCTCGTCACCGTGCTGCTGTCACCTTCTTGCCTGCTTTTGCAGGTTCTGGTTCTGCATATACTGCAGGATAATGCGCGAGGTATTTACAATGGTGATAACTGCCATGGTGATCTGAGTGGGCTCCATGCTTGCTGTGGTATGGCGTCTGCAGGAGAGCAGAGTTGCAGCAGCAGCGGTGGATGACGGAATAGATATTTATAGAGAGAAGCCACGAGAATAGATATTTATAGAGGACCTGTGAAGTAGATTCATGAGAGCAGAGTTGAAGCGGGAGCGAATTTCTCCATGTTGGCTGTCATGGGCTCCCGCTTCCACTGCAACTCTGCTCTCATGAATCCTCCTCGCAGGTCCTCTCGTCGTGCAGAATAAATATATATTCTCGTAGCATCCGCCTCTATATGACTGTCGTCATCTGCCGCTTCCGCTGCCACTCTGCTCTCCTGGTGCCATGAATCCACTTCGCAGGTCTTCTATATGACCATCATCATCCGCCGCTTCCGCTGCCATTCTGCACTCCTGTCTTGATCGATAGCGAATTTCTCCATGTTGGCTGTCATGGGCTATCGATTGAGACAGGAGTGCAGAATGGCGGCGGATGATGACGGTCATATAGAGGACCTGCGAAGTGGATTCATGGCACCAGGAGAGCAGAGTGGCAGTGGAAACGGTCATTCGATGATGACGGTTAGCAGTCCTACTGCACTGTCTGCTGAAAGCAATATGGTGCCCGCACAGCAAAAAGGCGCAAAATGATTGTCTGCTGTTGCTTTCACGGAGGGAGGGGCGACTGACGACGTGTACCCAAAACCACCCGTGACAATGTTTTTGCCCCATCAGGCATTGCGAGCTCAACCCAGAATTCCAATGGGCGGTGGAGACAGCGGGAACTGTGGGATAGCTACCTCAGTTCAACGCTCCAGAAGTCGACGCTAGCCACGGTACTGTGGACTCACTCCGCCGACTTAATGCGCTTAGTGGGGACACACACAATCGACTGTATAAAATCACTTCCTAAAATTTGACTTTTCTATAAATTCGACCTAATTTCATAGTGTAGACATACCCTATGTCAAAGAGCAATAAGTTACATTTAACTTATTTAACATTTATTGGGTAATAATTAGAGCTGTCAAGTGACTAAAAAAATGAATCGAGATTAATTGCATGATTAAAAAAATGAATCTTGATTAATCGCACTCTTAATAATAGAATACCATTTATTAAATATTTTGGATATTTTATACATTTTCAAATATATTTATTTCAATTATTACACAGACTACAAAGTGTACTATGCTCACTTTATATTTATTTTTGATCTATTTGCACTGTAGAAAAACAAAAGAAATAGTATTTTTCAGTTTACCTATTACAAGTACTGTAGTGCAATCTCTTTATCATGAAATTTTAATTTACAAATGTAGAATTATGTACAAAAACCCCTGCATTTAAAAATAAAACAATGTAAAATTGTAGAGTCTGCAAGTCCACTCAGTCCTACATCTTGTTCAGTCAGTCGCTCAGACAGACAAGTTTGTTTACATTTGCAGGAGATAAGGCTGCCCGCTTCTTGTTTACAATGTCACCTGAAAGTGAGAACAGGCATTCTCATGACAGTTTTGTAGCCGGTGTCGCAAAGTACAGAAGCTCCCTGACTTACGCAAGCGTTCCATTCTGGAATGCCTTGTGTAAGTCGATTTTTGCGTAAGTCAGGAAATTGTTCTCCTTAATCTCTAAGGACAGGACAAGAAGCAATGGGCTTAAATTGCAGCGGAGGAAGTTTAGGTTGGACATTAGGAAAAACTTCCTAACTGTCAGGGTAGTTAAGCACTGGAATAAATTGCCTAGGGAGGCTGTGGAATCTCTATAATTGGAGATTTTTAAAAGTAGGTTAGCCAAACACCTGTCAGGGATGGCCTAGATCAGTGGTTTTCAAACTTTTTTTTTTTCTGGCGACCCATTCGAAGAAAATTGTTGATGCCCATGACCCAACGGAGCTGGGTATGAGAGGTTTGGGGTGAAGGAGGGGCTCAGGGCTGGGGCAGAGGGTTGGGATGAGGGCTGTGGGGTGGGGCTGGGAATGAGGGGTTCAGTGTGTGGGAGGGGGCTCTGGGCTGGGGCAGGGGGTTAGCGTGCCGGAGGGGCTCAGGGCTCTGGGTTGGGGGTGCAGGCTCTGGGGTGGGGCTGGGAATGAGGTGTTGGGGTGCAGGAGAGGGCTCAGGGCTGGGGCAGGGATGGGAGTGTGGGGTTGGGGTGTGGCCTTACCTCCGGTGGCTCTCGGTCAGCGGTGCAGCCGGGGTGCAGAGGTAGGCTTCCCACCTGTCCTGGCACCGTGGACTGCACTGCGCCCTGGAAGTGGCCAGCAGCAGGTCCGGCTCCTAGGCGGAGGCGCGCAAGTGGCTCCACACAGCTCTCGCCTGCAGGCACCACCCACCCCAGTGCAGAGTCGGTGCTCAGGGCAGGGGCAGCGGATAGAGCCCTGTGGCCCCCCGGCCTAGAAGCCGGACCCGCTGCTGGACGCTTCCAGGGCGCAGTGTGGTATCTGTACAGGTAGACACTAGCCTGCCTTAGCCGGGCAGCACCACTGACGGGACTTTTAATGGCCTGGTCAGTGGTGCTGACCAGTGCCACCGCGACCCAGTGCCTTACAGTCTGCGACCCAGTACTAGGTCACGACCTGCAGGTTGAAAACCACTGATCTAGATAATACTTAGTCCTGCCATGAGTGTAGGGGACTGGACTAGATCAGTTCTCAAGCTCCCTTCCAATCCTATGATTCTATGATAACAGTGCAAAATTAAATTGAATGTCACATTAATTGTAAATTTTTCATGTTAGAGATATATTAAAATACATAGGATGTATTCATTGTGTCCATTGTCAAGCTATCTGGAGTGGCTCATGAGCATGAGTGCCAGCCTCGGGGCAGACTGTCAAGGAACAGGGCATAAACCCCAAACTGGTTGTATGTTCTATAATTAGATTTCACCAACCAATTAATAAGTGTGAACTCTTAAAGAATTATAAGAGTCTTAATATGGAATAACAGTCCCCTTGGGCACTCTGTTCTGTCTTGCCTCCCAGGCAAACCTGACTTTGTGATATATGATCCCCTTTGCCAAAAATCACAATAATATTCAGGTTATTCCCAGTCCCAAAGGACTAGTCACATACCCCAGGTCAACTGTACCTCAGATCACAAACCAAAGACAATGCTTGTAGCCAATCCTAAAATACTAATTCAAGATTTATTAACTAGGAAGAAGAAATGTTATTTACAAGGTTAAAGACACGATATTGTCTTATGTTCCAAAAGATGATGATAGCTGCTTTAATATGAAAGCTTTATATGTCCTTTAGGGCTAACCCGAGCTAAACCACTGGGGACCCTTTGCTTATGCTTCGAAATCATCGCCTCTCAGAGTTCAAGCAGCATAAGGATAATAATTTTTCCTTAACAGGGATTTTTATTACTTTCCCCCAGCAAGGGCTTGTGCACGTACCCTCTTCAGAGAGGTGGGGAAAGCAATCAACTGAGTCTTTAATCCACTGCTGTTCCACAACACCTTGTCTGGTGTGTATAGACCTTTTGTTCGGGGAGGAGATAATATCTCTTTTGGTAAACTAGTATTTTGTGCTTAGTAGTGCTTCTCCCTTTACTGTCAGGGCTTACAGTCTTAAACATTTTTATAGTTACAGAGCAGACACTTAAACACTATCTTATAACATGACATACAAATATTATAAGTATGATTAATACATGCAGCATCCTACAAGCATCCCATAAAGTCTAAACACATTCTTATAACTCTAATAACTATTTTAACAATGCTAACACAAAGGCAAGCCAGACTGATTTCCAGTTATGCATTTGTCAGTGTCCAGTGAGGCCCAGTGGCCTTGGCATGAGCTTGCACCTGATCTGCCAGTGTCTCATCCATCTTTTCTGTTCTTTTTCTGTATGTTTTACTTTATATGCATTTTCTTGTATGATTATTCTGTAAATACCATTTTGTTTCTGTACTTGAAATGCGGTTAAATGTTATTCTAATGAAAAGCTAATCACATTCAACAGGACTACAGAACTTAATGTTTAATAATAGTGTCATGAAGTTACAACAAAAGTATCCTGGAATTCTGTAACTTTAAGAAAAAGTGCCGTGTGATTTATATAACTAGCATATCTCACTAGAGGATCTTCTCTTGTAACAGAAAAATTATCGCATACAGGAAGATACAGATTCCTCATTAGCAGCGAGTTGGCAGGTTTTGATTAAGACGCTCCAGGAGAAAGAGTCTAAAATTCAAAAATTAGAAGCAGAATTACAAGAATATCAGGAAAATGAAGATACAAAAATGGTAGGTTTTTTGTAAAAAAATCATGAATTTATTCTTTGAACATGTTTATTTACTGTAGTAGCATTTCCTAGTCTCATTATAAGGGTATAGGAAACTAGCTAGAAAACCTGTTCAGGAATTTTCTTGCACTTAGGGGGCTACATTCTTAGCTGGTGTAAATTGATGTAACTCCGACTACATGGAAGCTACACTTGCTGAGGTTCTGGCCCAGCGTTGGCAATTCTACCCCATAGTATTTTTCCCCTTCAAATTCTTGTCTAACAGTAGTTGCTCTTATTATTACTTTTAGCTGTTTATTCTAAATATGAACTCCTCGGGTAAGGAAATTCCACCTATATTCTGTTAGTACCCACTCTTACACATAGACAATTTAAACTAAGTATCTGTCACCTGTTAAATAACCCCAACTCAGATAAATACTTGGCATGTCTCTCTTGGTTTTTTCTTCAAGATTATGGAGATCAGTAAAATCAACTCATCAGTACTTCAACTACTAAAATCACTTGAGACTCTTCCTTTTTAATTGTTTTTATTAATTCCTGCAGTAAAGTTTAAATGATGTAATCATTATTTGGGTATAACCATCAGTAGGCATTGGAGGCCTTTTTCAGGGGTAAGCCTTTTCAAACTAAAAATGCTTTGTGAAAACTAGTTATGGTTGCTAAAGAACAATCATAATATTAAAAAATTGGAAATACAGCATATGGCCATGTACGTACGTATGTATGTTATCTTCTCACACGTCAGCACCCAGCGATACAACCTTGTCCATTTCCTTAGCAAATTAACCCTACTCAATCACAGCCCAGTGAAAAGGGAGAACTCCACAACACCTTCTCAAAACTTCACATATGCTGTGGATTTAATCCACTGTGAGGAAAAGTGACATTTTTGAAGAAAAGAAGTTAGGTCTTAGTGGTTAGGTGTAGTTCATTATTTTCTATCAAAGTTTTATTAATATAACCAACTGTGAACCTTCACCAGTGAGTGTATATATGAAATTTCATGTACTGAAATAAGTGCAAGTTATGCATTTTAGTGGGATGTCTGATCTTTTGTGCTCTTTCCTGGTTGCCACAGACAGATCTCAGTGCCTCAAAGTAATGAACTGAGTAAACAAGGCTAGTTGATGGATTCAGAAATGTTTCTGTGAGCTTCTCTATGCCCCAAAAAGGACTGGCCAAACATTTGGCATCAACTCAACATAACAACAAGGGAAGGGTTGTGGGAGGTGCCAGAGTTCTGGCATCAATATACAGCTTCCAGCTGGACTGGGGATGAGCAGCCAGCTGGGTGCTTCTGGGTTCTTAGTAGCGGGGAGAAATAGTACTCTAAATAAAATCTCTGTCAGCTTGACCTTTTCCCCCTTGTTCCTACTCAGCTGCCCTCTCTTCCCAGGGCCAGCTCTGGCTTTTTTGCCGCCCCAGGCAAAAAAGCCTCCTGCTGCCCCCCGGCGGGGAGTGCAGCAGGGGAGGACGCCGAGCCCGGCCGCGGCCCAGCTCTCCCTGACCGGCTGGAGTGCCGGGAGGAGGGCGGCGAGCCCGGCCGGGGCCCCGCTCTCCCCGACCGGCCGGAGCGCCCAGGGAGGGCAGCCCCGCTCTCCCCGACCGGCCGGAGCGCCCGGGGAGGGCGGAGAGCCCGGCCGCGGCCCCACTCTCCCCGGCCGGAGCGCCGGGAGAGGGCAGCCCCGCTCTCCCTGGCCGGCCGGAGCGCTGCGAGGAGGGCGGAGAGCCCGGTCGGGGCCCCGCTCTCCCCGGCCAGAGCGCCGGGAGTAGGGCGGAGAACCTGGCCGTGGCCCCGCTCTCTCCGGCCGGCCGGAGCGCCGGGGGAGGGCGGCTAGCCAGCTGCGGCTCCGCTCTCCCCGGCGGCCGGAGCGCTGCGGGGAGGGCGGCGAGCCCAGTCGCGGCCCCGCTCTCGGGCCTGAGCGCCGCCCCCCTCCAGGTGCCGCCCCAAGCAGATGCTTGGTAGGTTGGTGCCTGGAGCCGGCCCTGTCTCTTCCTACGATATTTTTTATCTCAATTTGGCTGAAAAGGGTCCCTCTGGGACCATCTTCCTCATTTTCCTACTGCCACTTGGGTATCCTTGAGTGGTAACAGCTAATTTAGGCCCCCTCGTTTTGTATGTATAGTTAGGATTATGTTTTCCAATGTGCATTATTTTGTATTTATCAACATTGAATTTCATCTGCCATTTTGTTGCCCGGTCACCCAGTTTTGTGAGATCCCTTTGTAACTCTTTGCAGTCTGCTTTGGATTTAACTATTTTGAGTAATTTTGTATCATCTGCAAATTTAGCCATCTCACTCTTTACCGCTTTTTCCAGATCATTTATGAATATATTGAATACTACTGGTACCAGTACAGAGCCCTGGGGGACACCACTATTTACTTCTCCCCATTATGAAGACTGACCATTTATTTCTATCCTTTGTTTCATGTCTTTTCAGCAGTTACTGATCCATGAGAGGACCTTCCCTCTTATACCATGACAGCTTACTTTGCTTAAGAGCCTTTGGTGAGGGACCTCATCAAAGGCTTTCTGAACGTCCAAGTACACAGTATCCACTGGATCACCCTTGTCCACATTTATTGATCTCCCCTAGAATTCTGATAGATTGGGGCATGATTTCTCATTACAACAGATGTGTTAACTCTTCCCAACAAATCATGTTCATCTGTGTGTCTGATAACTCTGTTCTTACCATAGTTTCAATCAGTCTGTGTGGTACTCTATTGACACCTCAATCTGGGACAGTTCCTCAGATTTGTCACCTAAATAGAATGTCTCAGGTAGGGTGACAAGACAGCAAGTGTGAAAAATCAGGACGGGGTGGGAGGTAATAGCAGCCTACATAAGAAAAAGACCCCAAAATTGGGACTGTCTCTATAAAATCGGGACATCTGGTCACCCTAGTCTCAGGTGTGGGAACCTCCCTCCATTCTCTGCAGTGAAGACTGATGCAAAAAACTCATTTAGCTTCTCCTAAGTAACCTTGTCTTCCTTGAGTGCTCCTTTAGTACCACGATCGTCCAGTGGCCCCACTGATTGGTTTGCAGGCTTCCTGCTTCTGATGTACGTAAACGTTTTTTGCTGTTAGTTTTTGAGTGTTTGGCTAATTTATCTTCAGATTCTTTTTTGGCCTGCCTGATTATACTTTTACACTTAACTTGCTAGAGTTTATGCTCCTTTTTATTTTCCTCAGTAGGATTTGACTTCCAATTTTTAAAGGATGCTCTTTTGTCTCTAACCGCTTCTTTTACTTTGTTGATCATCTTACTGTGGTTTTTTAATTTGGGCCTCTATTATGGTGTTTTTAAAAAGTTTCCATGTAGCTTGCAGACATTTCACTTTTGTGATTGTACCTTTTAATTTCCATGTAAATAGCTTCTTCATTTTTGTGTAGTTCAACTTTCTGAAGTTAAATGCCGCTGTGGTCGGCTTCTTTGGTGCCTCCCCCCTGAGTGGTGCAGCTATTTTACCTCTTGGACCTGCTCCTGTGCTCCACTTAAGACTAAATAAAGAATTGTCTCCCCTTGTGGGGTCCAGAACTGGCTGCTCCAAGAACTAGTCATTTATGGTGTCTAGAAATTTCATCTCTGCATCCCTTCCAGAGGTAACATGTACCCAGTCAATATAGGGATGGTTGAAATCTCCCATTATTATTGAGTTTTCTATTTTTATAGGTTTTCTAATCTCCCTGAGCATTCCACAGTCACCATCCTGGTCAGGAGGTTGGTAGTATAGTCCTACTTCTATATTCTTATTATTCTTATTATTCAAGGATGGCATTTCTATCCATAAAGATTCTGTGGTACAGTTTGATTAATTTAAGATTTTTACTGTATTTGACTCTATGCTTTTTCTCATATTTAGTGCCACTACCCCACCAACATGACCTTCTCTGTCATTCCTATATATTTTCTACTCTTGTTATTACCATGTCCCGTTGATTATCATCATTGCACCAAGTTTCTGTAATGCCTATCATATCAATATCCTCATTTAATAGTAGGCACTCACGTTCACCCATCTTAGTATTTAGACTTCTAGCATTTGTATGCAAGCACTTATAACTAGAGAGAGTAGAAGATGAAGAAGCAGATTGTCACAAATGGGGAAAGAGAACCAGGAGGCATTCAACTTAGGTAGAAGTATTGAATTGTTTTGAGATACCCAGTGAGTCAGGGACCAAGGGACCTGTCTCTGGAGAAATGAAACAGAAAGCTGCAGGGGACAAGCCTGGTGGGTGTCCTTGCAGTCTGAAGCAGGTTACTACCAAGAGAGGTTCTTCAGTCATAATAGAAATGGGCGTCTCATGGGAGGGACACAAAGGGGGGCACCAGCTAAAGGGGGGGACATGTGACCTCCCCATGTGAGCCCCCACGTGATTCCTCCACACCCTGCCCCCGGGGGCTCTGCGCTCTCCCCATTCCACGTTACCTGGAGGGGACTCTGTCCTCCTACTGTGCTGGGAACTGCAGCAGCTCTTCCAGCACGGCTTTACCGCTCCCAGACCTTCCATGCAGTGATGTCTCCTGTCTGGGGTGGGGTCTGTACAGCCCCACCAGAGGACAGGGCTGGAGTCTGGGGGTGGTACCAGTACAGCCGTGCCAGGGGAGCTGTCAGCACAGGCGCTGGCTCCTGGGAGCGGCGGCCTCACGTTCTGCTCCTTTCGCTGCTGTGGTTCCCTGATGAATGCCCCTCAGGCGTCTGGGGAGGGACATGTGACCCTTCTTGCCCCTCCCAAGCATTGCCTGACCTCCGTGACATTTTCTGCCCCAGGGATGGAGCTGTCAGCTGGTAGGCCACACAGCTCTCAGCCGCTGCTGGTGGTGGGTTCCCAGCGCCTCTGAGCCCCTGGGCAGCAGGGGGACCCTGCAGCTCCCAGCCACTGAGGGCACGGGGGGGCACCGCACAGCTCTCAGCCACCAAGGGTGGCGGGGGATCCCCCACAGCTCCAGCTGCCACAGGCAGCGAAGGGATCCCGGAGCTCCCACTCC